GTGTGTGTGTGTGTGTGTGTGTGTGTGTGTGTGTGTGTGTGTGTGTGTGTGTGTGTGTGTGTGTGAACAACAATGTCTCCAGGCAAATTGAAAACAAATGCACTTTTCGTTTTGAACATTTGCTCACACGAGTTCACAGAAAGCAAAATATGTTTCCACCTTTCGCATCGTCGCTAAACTCCATCAATTAAAAAGCATGCTACAGCGCGAATGTATAGTAGTTTGTTTTTTTTTCGTTACGAGCCGCGATCGATGCACATTGTTAAGCGTATAAACTTCAAACCGAAGAACCCTGTTCGATATATAATATGCTTTTGCAAATCACGATTACAGTCTCACGATCTCGTTAGCCGTAGAAAAAGACGTATATATAAATACAAGAACAAAAGAATTGATTCATGACGCGTCGACCACTGCTCCTATCACCATCCCCTCCCGTTTCATGTCTATAGTCCGCCAAAAATATTATTCAATGATTCTATCCTATTACCGAGTCAAATCGAGTCATACTTAAAAAATATACTATATATGAAAAAGGTGCTTATAAAATCTAGTTATACACCTTGGGGCCGCGCAAGCATTCGAACACTTAATTTACACAGTTTTCATCGTTTCCCGTTTCTTGCGCGTGTCCATCATCATCATCATCATCATCATCATCATCATCATCATCATCATCATCATCATCATCATCCTTGAAACAGTTCCCCATTCATCGTCGTTACGCGATTAATCTACAAGCGATTCGATCGTAGCGGACGCAAAAAACATTTCTGCGTAATAAGCACGATAGAAATAAACGTTCGCTAGTCTGTCTCAATTGCTATGTAAAAATAAATGTCGATGTTAGCCGTGTTCATTGTTGAAACTTTGAACGGAGCCCACTAGCGTACTTCCTTAACATTTCTATTTTCTCATCGATTAACAAGGACCGATCGGGTCGATGATGGTCGCTTTTAATCATTCGTAAAAGACTCGTATTACTTTCAAATGTTAAAACTAGCGTGTTCTGAATATTTTTTTCGTTTTTTCTTTTTATTGCGATAGGACGTTTTCACTCTGTCGTCTCTGTGTGGGTACGTGTCTGTGTGTGTGTGTATGTCGTCTATTATCTTGAAATAAAGCTATTTTATAGCGAGCGAGAAACTTATACCGTACAGGGTTACCGCTAAAAACCTCGAATACTTTTTAGACCACGGTGCTCTTGATTTATCGACTGACGTCATCGACAATTCTATTGTCGAGCTACGAGAGGAACGGATTCGCTGTAGTAGGTGTATTCGCTGCCCAAGGATCCTGTCGAATCTGATTGATCGTAGGACGGGGTGGTGGTGGTGTTACCGTCGCAAATGGATTTGCTGAATACGAGATGGTTGCTGAAAAATTATTCACAACGTTAGTCTATACTCGGTAATTGTTTCTACACCACGTATTTTAAGAATATTTCATAAATAAGGAAAATAAAAAAAGAACGAAAACTTTAAGAATAACGCATCCATTAGAAACTGTAAAGATAATGCATTCTGTTCACACGTGTATATACAGTCTGATCGAAAACCTTTAACAGTATGTCGTCGGTCTTCGCTGTAAAAGAAAATTTACAACAAAAATTGTTGTACTCTCTTCAAATACAACATTCGAGTCATGCACTCATGCAGTATAGAGTTGATCACTTTGTTGATACTCACGAATTTATTTCCAATGAAATGCTATTTTGCAGACAAAATACGTTACAACAAAAAAACACAAATACACACAAATCATTTGTTTTCAAGAAAATTAAATTACTTTAGTGTTTGGAATTCTGTGATTACGCTAGAATTCTATCTTGAAATTTTGGTAAACCGTACGCAGCATCCAACAGTAATTATCGTTGGTGAGAATATGTTGGTATAAATATAAATATCGATAGCTTGAACGAGTCTTTCCAAGATGAATAACTTATTCGATGTTGTCGATATTAACTTAAACGTTACCTGCAGGTGTTGGCGTAGCTGGTTTAATCGCAGAAGTACTGACGAGATTATCAAGGTTAACCAGAGCAGAGTTCTCCCCGAGGAACGACTGTGGTGTTTTCTTAACAGCTCCCGTACTTGTAGGTAGATTTTCGGCTATGCCTCCCAAATCGAATGGATCTGGTGATAGCGAATCTCCTACAACAATTATCATCACGTGATCCTGTTTCTCAAGAATAAATCTATGTACACAGCATCGTAGGCGTTGCATTTTGCGTATAGCTTATATAAGCAAAGAAAGATTCGACTTCGCAACCCCTGCAACACTATTCTCTATAAGAAATCAAGCGTACCATTGTTTACTGGTTGTGGACTAGATCCAAGCTTATTTCTGTTAGTAATTACATCGAACTCGTCTAAGTCGCTCAGCGGGCTGACTCCTGGGTTGTTTTGATTGCCCGCAGAGAAATTGTTAAAACTAGATCCGGTGCCGTTGAAACCGTTGCTTGTGGTGTTATAATTATTCGAAGATGCAGGCAGATTGAAGCCTATGTTCGGCGGCGATGGCGCCGCGAAACCAATGTTCTGCGGTGATTGTGCCGCGAAGCCAATGTTCTGCGTTAGGGTGGGGTTGTTGAAAGACGGAGAAGCAGATGTTGCACCCTCTCGTCCGGCCTTAACAATCGGCACATTAGAACACTCGGATTCATTTGTTGACGAATGTAAATATTCTTCGATTTCTGAAAAGTCTTACTGGCTTTTTATTTGTTTCAGTTTCAGCGGTAGCGGGCACAGGTGACCAAGGATCTGCTGTAGGTGGAGACGTAACTGGTACAGGTGATGGTGCGGGTGCCCGCCACGGATCAATGGAAGCCGCTGAAATTGGACGAACCGTTTAATCATCGTAGAAATAAAATCATAAGTCGTTCATTTAATTCCTCGCAACTTACATGGTCTTTGTGGTGGAACAGGTGCCCATGGGTCGATCATGGGTGACGTACTACTCGTGTTGGGGGCGCTCCATGGGTCATTCTGCGGCTACGGAATAAAAACCAGTTAGAGAATTTCGCATCTAATATTTCTAGAAGTTTCAGGGAATAGCACAGTGCTGCAGCAACATTTGCTGTATTAGACAAACATACCTTGTACATATAAAACTGAGACAAATCCAAAGACTGTTGTGCAACGTGCAAAGAGTACGCAATGTCGTATTAACATGCAATAAGCAGATGCGTAAGTGTCATTTAACTGAAGAGCCTGATATACCTGTGGCCTGGGCGGGGGTGCGGCGACGGGAACACCCCAAGGATCAGTTTGTGCATTGGCTCCACCGCTGGCTTCTCCTAAATTAACATCCAAGAGGTCCAGCATATGACTTTGTTTCTCGGTTTGTGGAACTCTGAAAGACATTTGCATCCTTAGGCAAGAAATGAATGTAAATTCTCATCAATGATATTGTAATGCACGATATTTTCGATATTCGAAATCTGCAATCACTGTCACTAACTTAAAATCTTGCTGGCTCTGACTGAGAGCTAACTGCAGTCTGACGTCGTCACTGCGCCTTCTTTGTTCTTCCTGCTCCGCCTCTTCCCTAGACATTGCCAGAGCCAATTGCAGTTGCAGTTCCTCTTCTCCGACTGTTTGTGGCCTTGCAGCTTCCAATTCGGCTATTTAGTGCGTAGATTATAGTTAGTTAAAGGTTATGTTATAGAATTATACAATGTATCTTTTTTTAGGCAGGTATCAGTCCTCAATGACCGACGTGATATTCCTGCGGTTTCAGTTAAGATAAGAAAGACACACTGTATAAAATAATACATTAGTTGTTATTCATACGTCTAGCTGCAGATTCGGATCCGAGGCGACACGGTTCCCAATCCTGGAACTAAATCGATAAGATGTTATCATCGTTTAATAACATAATTGCTCGATATTTTTAATACTAATTGTAGAAGACATACATCACTGCTCACGGGTGACATAGCATCTAATCCTTCGCTCCCAAACCCGCTAACGGATTGTGTAAATCTTTCCTTAGCTTTCAATGCTCTGGCTCGTTCGTTTCTTAACCTCTCATCATCTTTTAATAAGGCCACTAGTTGCTTTGCTTTCTCTCTTACGTTCACACCTTGATCTTTAGACCCTTCCATGTATTGGAAATCTAAAGGTAACGAAAGAAAGCGTCAAGAAAATTTATATTATATTATTATATTGTGATAGACGAAACAACTTACCCTTTAAAGTTTGGATGGCAAAAATATTTTCTTTACATTGCTGTGCAACCTTTTCTGATCCTGTTTTAATTAGGTACTCCAAGAGGACTAAAGCTTTGTACACATGCCGCCAATTTTTACCGTGATCGTTCAATCTTTTCCACAACATCTGCATGATTTCAGTGAAAGCTACAACATTGTATGTTAGGTCAGAAATTTCTGCCATAAGTGTGCTGCTTGGACCCCATGGATCATTGCTGGTGGCTTTACGTACTGCTTTCTGTCGAGTGCAACAAGTGTTTGGATTAAACATGACAATAGAGTATTATGATAAAATATTGTTTAATTACCTGCGCATTGCTATAATTATGGGCAAGATTAACAATGTCTCGCCTAATACCTGCCAGGTTAACCTGCATAACGTCTTGACCTTGTCTTCTCATCTAAAAAATTACCACCGTATATTACAAGCAGGTAGCAAAATTTGTAATTCTTTCAGAAGCCCATACTTATCATCATCTACATTCGCGTTTATTGTCTATTAGATTTAATAGATGTTACGAATTTCTCACATAACTGAAATACAATTTCAGTTAAACGCATGTACAAAAAGAAAATGGAGAAAAAGGAAAAGATGATTCGGTGATAAATATGGGCAATCATTCCATACCAAAGCCATGCGACCAAGTATGTATAAATAGAGAGAAGCAAAAGATCATTTGTAAAATATTTATTCTAGTCTACTTTTACCAAATTAACATATTACCACTACTTTCTATTTGATTAGTGTTATAATAAGATGAATGAAAGTAGCTAAATTAAAAGTGCAATCGACAACAAAGTAAAGAAACCCCTCTTATTATGTACAATGTTCCTCTCGCCTATCAATTGTATCGCCACAGTACTTGCAAATTAAAATATTTATGACAAGCAGAATGCAATAAGGTAGTAGAATAGGATACAACTACTTTAAATGTGTAATATATACAGCTTCAAAGTAGAACAACTTTATTTTTGAGATGTGCCTATATATACTATACCCCAAATAAAATGTTTCAATTAAATCAGTGCATTTAATGTCCATAGTATTCAAATTAATAGAAAAGAGACTGCCACTTTCCATTTCAGTTACAGCCTTTTATCTGAGAACATTCTTTTCACTGTATCCAACAATCCTTTTAAGGGTCATTATCTTATATTTCTCTACAAAAACTTAAACTCTTCTTTGAAAATAATATTTGCTGCAATACTGACTTGCATAATGTGCATAAGTATTGTTATCTTATAATTTTGCGATAAATAAAACATAAATGAGTCCAAGTATGTGCAAAAACTTGATTACTAAAAACTATAACTCATGTATCTTCCGTACACAGGATGTTGGGCCATTAAGATCGATTCAAAATTAATTATTTTTGCATTGTATGCGCATATTTGAAATAAAAAGTTTTATTATTACATCCATTATGGATTAGAATTCTCCATTGCAATTATAAAGTAATTTTCAGTGACATCCTGTATACTACTTAGAAAGGTAATTCACAAAACATTTATCTACATGATTTCTTTTTCAATCATTTTCTAACAACATCATTGATTAGTAAGGTAATAACACTTGTTATTTTGTTGACTGTGGCCAGTTGTGAAATTTACCTTCTGCATCGCCATTGTTGGCATACGAAATACTGCTGGCAGTTGTCGATGAAGCTACTTCTTGCCCAGAAACATAGAAAACTTCCCGAACACTCTTCGAATCAGAATAAAATCCTACACTATTAGACAGTTCACTAAATAAGCAAGAAGTAAATTGTTATATTTACCTGTGGATGATAAATGAATTTTTACGTAATGTGCAAATGATTAAATAACTAACTGAGGGCACTTTGTGTAATTTGAAAAATCTTACTAAATATTATGCAAATAAATATTGCACAGAATACTGCGTATTAAATGAGACATGTATACATATGTGTTTGTGTGTGTGGTGTACAACTGTTGAATATACAGTATCATAAAAGATGTCAGATTGGAAGAATACTTAACAATTAAATAGGCACAACTCATACTTCATAAGTAAATTATACTATTATTTCAGCTTAAGAGTTGATACAATTATCATTGTTATTTACCTCTACAGAATAATACAGATAATATAGAGTATAGAGGATATATAAACTATATGTAACAAATACGATACATTTAAAGCAGGTA